ATGTGTGTATGTGTATATATATATATGTGTGTATGTGTATATATATACATGTGTATGTGTGTATATATATATATGTGTGTATGTGTATATATATACATGTGTATGTGTATATATATGTATGTATATGTATATATATGTGTGTATATGTATATATATATATATATATTAAACGCTCTGTGTCTCCTTTCCTCGTCTCCAGATGAGAGAGCTCTTCCTGCCGGCAGCAGAGAGGAGAGGACCGTCTGTGGAGGAAAGCTAACCCACGAATGGCCTGCCAGTCTGTCTCTGCAGTCATGGACGAGCAGGCCCTGCTGGGGCTCAACCCCAACGCCGACGCCCGCTACAGGCAGAGGGTAGGACGGGGCAGGGGGGGAGAGCTCTCAACATGAGAACCACAAGCTGAGGACCAGTAGGAGCCCACTAGAGGGCTCATCCTGCAGGGATGGTTCAGCTGTCATCTGTGAAGTCTTATGGAATTCATTTAAAAAAATCTGTTTTGGTGATCAAAAAAAAAAGAAGCTTTTCATTCCCTCTGGAGGGTTTTTGGGCTTCAGAGGGTTAAAAATGTCAAAATGATCAAAACTCTGGTTCCTGTCTGGAAACAATGAGTCATCACTTGTGTTCACGCTTTGTGTTTTAAATGTGACAAACTACCGGTTTAACGTGACGCGCTCCTAAAATGTGTTGAATAAATAAAGGGAGAAGAAATAGTTAAGTTTGAGGTGTTGCTGTTGATAACATTAAAGAATCTGTACAGTTATTCTGTCAGTGATAAAGGTGTGAATACAGGTGATGAGCTGTGGATAATCAGGTGGATCATCTGTGCACACCTGTGTGGAGGAACCACTGATTTGTCGGGTCTTTAATGATTTAATCAGATGAATAATTAAAATGAATTGTTTACACCTGTGTGGTGTTAAATGTCCTCACTAGTACCATGTTTGATATTTATCTTGTATTTATGATTTTACACGTATAGAACGTTACAATAAGTCTGTTATTACTGTGTTACTACAACCTGTTGCTTTGGTTCACATGGAAATGTGTGTTGTTACACTTTGTGACATGAATGTATCTTCAATGTAACAATAAACCAAACATCATATCAGGTTACGTAGATGTTCTCATAACTGTTATAAACCAGGTCAGCTGCAGCTCCTCTTCTTCTTCTTTCGTTTATTTTGTTACGGTAGAGATCTTCTGGAGTTTTCAGAGCCTCCAGCGTTGGTGTGAAGAAGCTTATGATAATAAATATGATAATAATATTAATGTGTTGTCTGTTCAGGCCATGGCTTACTTCGAGCAGCTGAAGGAGTCTCAGGGCGCCTGGGAGGTTTGTGCCGAAGCTCTCGCTAACGGGGTTTACAAGTGAGTGTCAACAGCACAGCGTGTAAATAAAGATTTCATGTTCAAACGCGTTCAAACAGCTCTTCTTCTGTGGTTTATTACAGCGACGACCATGTGAAGTTCTTCTGCTTCCAAGTCCTGGAGCATCAGATAAAGTTCAGGTGAGGAGGAAGGGAGGAGGAAGGAGGAAGTAGGAAGTAGGAAGGAGAAACACGTATTTGTTTGTGTCTCAACTTGTTTGTTTGTGTTTCAGACACGCTGGTCTGAGTTCAGTTCAGCAGCAGCTGATCAGAGAGACTCTGATGAAGTGGCTCCAGTGTCAGGTGATTCATACCACACATCGCTGTTAAACATCCCATAATATCTGTTCAAGTCTCATCACATGACGCTGTGTAAACATCAAAACTAATAAAACATATTTAATATAAAACGTGTAAAGTTTAAAACAAAACGTTAAAATGAGATTTACTGGCCTCCAACAATATGCACGAGCAGGAGTTATAAATATACAAAATACATGATGTAAATACCACATAAATATACTCCCAGGTATATTTATATTCTGTATAAGCACTACTTTTACTTTGAAGTACTTTATGACGTGATATGCCTTTAAGAATCTTCTGTGTGAGCTGAGAATACAGTGAAGAAGAGGAGGAGAGAGGAAGATAAGATGAACATCATGGCTCCAGTCTATCTGTTTAATGTTTTCAGAAAAAGTTAAAAATGGTTATAAATATTTATATATATTTTAAAGGAACTTATAAGTGTTTTTCCGTCCCTTCCCGTCGTTTACAGCTGATGAACGCTCAGCCTGAGAAGCCCTTCATCAGGAACAAGGCGGCCCAGGTGTTCGCCCTCACCTTCGTCATGGAGTACCTGACTCTGTGGCCCAAGTTCTTCTTCGACATCCTGTCCCTGGTGGGTCTGAACCCTCACGGCGTGGACATCTACCTGAGGACGCTCATGGCCATCGACGCCGAGGTGGTGGACCGAGACATCCTCCACTTACCCGACGTGAGACTCTCTCTGATAACCTTTGTCCCTCTGAGCTGAGAGACTCTTTGGTTCACGGTGTCCTCTCTCTCTTCAGGAGACTCGTAGGAACACTTTGATCAAAGACGGCATGAGGGAGCAGTGCATCCCCAACCTGGTAGAGTCCTGGTTCCAGATCCTGCAGACCTACCAGCAGTCCCACCCGGAGCTCACCTGTCAGTGTCTGGAGGTGGTGGGAGCCTTCGTGTCCTGGATCGACCTGAACCTCATCGCCAACGACCGGTCAGTCACCTCAGACAGAGACGGAAGGAGACGGAGCGTGGAAACGTGGAGCCGGTTTCCTCGACTGAGGTTTTCTTTGTGCGTCTTCAGCTTCGTGAACCTGCTGCTGAGTCAGATGTCGGTGGAGGAGCTCAGAGAGGAGGCCTGCGACTGCCTGTTTGAAATCGTCAACAAAGGGATGGACCCCGTGGACAAAACCAAGCTGGTGGAGTCTCTGTGTCGAGTCCTGCAGTCGGCCGGCTTCTTCAACGTGGAGCAGGTTCGACCGCTTTGTAGAAATGCAGCACAGGAAGTCAAACGCTGGTTGTTTTTTGGCAGAGTTTCAGTCGCATGCTTTCCCTTCCCCCCTCGCACCTCCTTTTATTGTTCACTTCCTGTCTGGCAGGAGGAGGACGTGGACTTCCTGGCCAAGTTCTCCCGGCTGGTGAACGGGATGGGTCAGAGTCTGGTGCTCAGCTGGACCAAACTGGCCAAGACCGGCAACGTGAAGGAGACGGCGGAGACGCTGCAGGCCGTGGAGACCAAAGTACCGCTGCTGCTGCAGCTGCTGGTCCACGAGGACGACGACATCTCGGCCAACATCGTGGGCTTCTGCTACGAGTACCTGCACGTCCTCAAGCAGGTGAGGAGGCTCCACCTGGACCACCACGGCCCCGGAGGCCATCCGGGTCCTGTGTTATTACCTGGACCACCATGGTCCAGGATGCTCCACCTGGACCACCATGGTCCAGGTGGCCTCATAGAACTATAGATGCTCCCAAATTTTGGGAAATTTTACAGCTTTATTTGCTTGAAAGTTGAGATTGAAACTTAATCATTAAAATCATTTCACACATAATTATGAAGATTAAAGATAAATATCTTGAGGTTTCAGAGTATTATTCATGAATATTTTGGGATACTTGAACATGTTTTTTTTGTTTTTTTTTAGCTTCCCCAACTGACAGACCAGCAGAAGACCTACATCGAGGTGAGTGTTTGATTATAAACAATAATCGTCTCTTTGATGTGTATAATAATTAATACGCTGCCTTTCATCCTGCAGGCGATCATGCTGGCTGTCATGAAGAAACTGACGTATGACGACGAGTACAACTTTGAAAACGAGGTGAGTTTGTAGTTTTAATGCTTGTTTGTCCTCAGGGTGAAGATGAGGCCATGTTTGTAGTCTCTGACTGTAGTCTTGTTTGTTCTCAGGGTGAAGATGAGGCCATGTTTG